CAAACCACCACCCCTCATCTCGTCAACATTTACGTAAACTACACTCAAAGTTAAAATTGAGGGTCATAAACTCCCTGTTACTATACCAAGGAATCAGCAGCGGATTTGGGAGCGCTGCACAAGTTTGCTTGCCAGTGCGCTTCACAACACTTCCGTTCTTCCGTTGTAGGTGAGCCTGCCTAAGACCGCATCTGGACACGCATTGCCATGCTTTACGGTGCCACGCTGTCCAAACACTGAGCGATGGGCCCGCGGGGAGCACCGTACCCGCTTCAACAAACAATCTGCAAGGCGCTGCAAGTTGATAATCCTGATGATGCTTGCCTCCGGACCAACATTGGGACGAGTACTGTGCAAACTTCAACACCATAGCCCGTGTATGATAATTTAATCAAAGGCATCAATGGCTTTCACAAAACACAGCAGGATGCTCAATGAACGAAGACTACAGGACTAACACACTTCAGAGCCTGATATGCCATCAGAACAAGCCATGAACACCGTGATCCAGGCTTCCAACCCACCATCGACAATGCTTGCTTTCGCTGCAGCTGCTCTCCATTCCCGCACACTCTCTTATTGAGAGTGACCGGTACTTTTGGGGTCCCAGAAAGCTTGACAAGCACTTCAAGGCGAGGGAGAGATTGGTTGGGCATCCATGCATGTCGTTCGCATGGCCACGCTCGTTCCGATCGTGCTTTCCATCAAGCTCTCCCATACATCTCCTCAGCAACCAGAATGGCTGAGTTAAGAGTACCAAACATGGATTCGCCAAGTCCAAACATGAGGAAAGGGACTGACTGAGCCCCTGTCGGCTTCCATGGCTTCTCTGCCCCTTTTCGAGGTGTGTCGGCATGTGCAGACGCAAATCGCCGCGAGGACAACTAAAACCACCGCTGAACCAACCAACGTGGCCACGATCCATGGAAGGTCGCTGCCTGGCTCCACAAGAACCCCACCAGGCCCTGCAGGCCCAGAAGCCGGCGCCAACTCTGACACGCAGGGCCACTCTCTGGAAGAAAGCCCCGAGCTCCCTCCAGGACAGTCCAAGGAGCACCGCATCTGCTGCTCAAGAGCCGCACATTCGCCGGAATAGTTGGCACCCATTCGGCATGCAGCCTGCTCCACGCAGCGAACGACGCAGCGCGTCGTCCAACACAGGCACATCTCATGTGCCGTGACCTCAGTGCCCTACTTTACGCTGGAATAGGCGACTCATCTAACTGTTGCCTGGGGATTATCGAGGTCACATCGAACTTTGACTCGACACCTCGTTTTCCTGCTTGCTAGGGCAGTGGGATGCATCGGGCATGTTGCAGCTCACATCGAAGCCAGCAGGGAGGCCTCGAAGTTGTCCATGCGGCATATCGCGCTCTCTTGAGAAGAGTTTCAGGTATCTTCCCTCCATTGAGTTACTCTGATGATGTGGAGGGTTTAGGGCACTGAGCAGCAGCCGGGTACGGCACTCTCTCTCACGAGCTGAGCTACTGGCGTTCATGGCAAAAGCAGCGCTGCAGTACTGTGCATATGCCGTGGTGGCAAGACAAGTGCAGTCTTCCAGGCAGCTGACATAAGCCTGCTGGGACCCTCCCACGCATCCGCTCATGGCTCATCCTGTTCAGCGAGGGAGCAGATTGAGCCAGCTGAGCAGCTGCAGACGAAATCATGGCCGTTGAGTGCATGCCGTTGAGTGCGCGTCCCCTTTTTTGCAGGATCCCCATCGGCATTGCAGTTGTCTAAGGCCACTTGGCCGCTGCCGCCTCCACCACAGAGTCGGCTTCGGCTGCCTGGAGCTGCAGGTGCTGGGCCGTGGTGCCAGTCCAGCCTCTCTGGAGGGAAAGCTGCGCCGACGGTGAGCCGAAACGGGCGCCAGCATTTCTGGATTCCTTTGATGCCTGGATGCCAGTTTTCAGGAGTTTGGTCGCTCGCCGCAGCTCGTGGAAACGAGCGAAGAGCCGGGGCGTCTCCTGGCTCAGAGAGGCCAAGGCCCTCAGCTCCAGCTCCGCCGAGAGCGCCAAGAGCACTCTCCTTTGCCGTCCAAGCAAAGCCTCCTGGCGCGAGCCGAGCGCCAAGAGCTCCGAGTCCTCAGAGGAAAGCTTCGGCCCGGGCTTCTCCGAGAGCTCCGCGAGCTGCGTGGTGAGCCTGTCCACTCTGCTTGGCAAGGTGTTCCCGAGATGCTGCAGGAGCTCCTGGCGCGGGCACAGGCTGGCAAGCTGGGCCTGGAGCTGGGAAAGCTTGCGAGCCACATCTTCCGCCGAGCGCTCCGTGCGCTCCGCGTCCGGCGTCATCAAGCCCGAGCTCAGTGGCGCTAGGAGCAGACGTCGCATGGAGTCCAAGCCTTGTGACTCTTTGCAAGTGCTGTGCTCACGACCCTCGCTTTTATCGCCAGGGATGCCTTTCGATTCGAGATCGAGAAGTTGAAGAGCTATGGGTGACCTTGACGACCGCCGCTCGACGCGTAGAAGTAGCCCCCGCCCGTCTAGCAGCTGCAGCCCTGCGAACTCGGTGCTGCCGCTCTCTTTCGCTTCCGACCTGGTCTCTGCTAAAGTCCTGACCGATGAGGTTCCCTGCAGGTTGATGTCCACCACTGCGACGAGCGAGTTGGAGTAGGCAAGAAACGACGGGTTGGGCTCGTGATGCAGTGCCAGCATCCGCAGTGAAGCTTCGCTCGAAGAGCACATTAGGTCGATCTCTTCCAGTAAGGCGCAGGCGATTTTGGTGGAGGTGAATGCAGGGCCGGGAGCAGCCTCCAAGGCCAAGAGCTGAATCAATCCAGAGTTCGTGGCCCGGGCGATCATGACGAGTGGGGAAAGGCTCACAAGCTGCAAGCTGCAAAACGAACTCTTCGCGTGCCGGACTGATTGGGGAGACTGAGGCCCATCTTGCAGAGCTTCCTCCACCATCTGCTCACCAGGTGTTCGAGGGCCTCTTGCATGCAGGTGCAGGCTATGCCGTGTAACGCAGGAGCCGCCGGAGTGCTCCGCAGCCATGGAGGGCCCTGTCAGGAGAGCTTCCCTGAGCCAGTCGTTCGGATCCGCGGCCAGCGCGCTGAGCATCGCTTGTGGCATCACTGCCACCGAAGGAAGCACCGGGTTCCGCAAGGAGATTCGTCCCGAAGATCCCAAGAAGAACACCGACAAGCTGAGCCAGGCTTCTTCCGGGGTCGCTCCGGGCCCGTCTTGGATGGCCCAGGCAAAGTCCACCACCGCCTCTTCCTGGCTCTTCTCGGGCCTCCTGAAGTCGAAGTACAACTCCGGCTCTCGCACGGAGGCGCTCAAGTTCACCAAGGACCAGCTCCCCTCGCCCAAGACACCCAGGTGGCAGTCGCTCAGCGGATGCCAGGCCACTTTCAGAATCGAGGAAGGGCCGGAAGGGCCGGAAGGGCCGGAAAGGGCCACCGCCTGCAAGTCCCAGCACGCCTGGCCGAGTCGGAGAAGGGAGCCGGGAGCAACACACAAATAGGGGGGCTCAAGCGGCCGGGCGGCCGGCCTCTTCGTCTTCCAGGTCCGGCAGCGCCACGGCTGCGGCGCAGGCGCCGACGAGGCAGAGGCCCCGGCCGCCCCTGGCCACCAGGAGCTGCGAGAAGGGCGCCTTCCGCACGTTGACGCCCTGGACGCCGATCTGAATCGTGCGATTCACCACAGCGCTCTGAGGACTGCTGGGATTGCCGAGGAAGAGCTCCACAGAGACCTGCGAGGACGCCGAGGCCTCGCCCTCCTGCCACTGCACATGTCAGTGCCCACCGCACGTGTGTGTGCCTCTCTGTGACTGGACACTCCCCGCTATTCCCTGCATCCGCCTCATCCTTCGCTGTCTGCGACGTGAGCCTTGCAAGCAGCTCCGCGATGAGTGTAAGATGCAGAGTAACGAACATGCAGGATCCCGGCAGGAAGAACGCGCGCTTTTCTCCCCATGCTGCGGCCTCAGGCACTTCAAGGGACTTGACGTACACTCCTGTTACGCTGCGACAAAAGCTGCCCGCCGCCGCCAGGTCAGTCTTCGTGCACCTGACTTGGGCAACGCACGAGCGGCTCGGCTTTTGCTTTGCAGGCCTTGGAAGGCTGGGCGCGCTCGCCTGCCCAGCGGGTGCATGCTTAGGAAAAGACTGAGCGAATGGAGGCGCTCTCATCTTGGACAGGCACATCCACTGGCTGGACTCGAGCCTGTCGCCAAGCCGGAAATTGCTCCAGCGAGGACCAGTTCATGACAGGTCGGATTTCTTTTCTCCGAGGTTCCTTCTTGCCATTTGCTTACTGGGTTTTGCTTTGCTGAGACTTGAACTTGGCTTCAGCGCTTGAGTAGATACGTGACCGAGACTGGCATGAAACGTGCACTGCTCCAAGAGGAGTGTATCGCTTGCGGAGGCAACGATCTCTTTCCCGCTGCAGCACCAACGCTAGCAACGGTCTAAGGCTACAGGCTGCTGGCCTCGCCTGAAGCAGCCCGGCTATGGAAAAAGAGCTGTACACCGCAGTCCGCTGCAATGAATTATAAGCTATTCGGTCCAGAATTTCCGTAAAGGGCCGATCTGAACGCTGAGCTCCGGAAGACCTTAAGACCCCGAGTCTCTGAACAAAAAAAGGAACCTCAGACATGTAGACTCTGTTGCAGAGTCAAGTCTGGATGTGTCGCGTCGACTGCAACACAGGGCTGCCTTACAGACTTTCCCTGGTGTACAAAACGTGATAAACATAAACCCCCTGGGGCCACACACCCGACAGCCCCAATGTGGCAGAAGGCTCTAGCAATATAAGCGAGAGGGGAATTTTAATTGAAAAGTGTGAGACGAAGAGAAGGAACAGAGGAGGATGCTAGCTATAGGAGGCGCCCTTATGGAGGAAGTCTCTCTGAAATATCCTCTTGGCTCTCAAGCCCTGGAAGCGCCGTTCAGATCGCCGCCACAGCAGATGCTCCTGCACATAAAGCGGAAAGTAGGTGAAAGCAAGGGCCTTAGGCGCATCTGCCAGGCAGATGCAGGGCGGCTCCTAATTGGCCGTGAATGGCCCTGAATCGTGCGCAGGCATTCGCCGGTTCGAAGATCCTGCGAATGCCACTGCGATTGCAACAAAGGCGGCCTCAGCTCCATCGCTTTGCGCAGAGAGCTCTCGGTCCCAGAGTTTTAGGCAGCCATCGAAGGCTCCAGACACTGCGCGTTCCCGAGCCTCGGATTCGTGGACCCCGAGTGCCCGTGTGCAAGAACGGCCTGGAGTGGAACTTGGCGACAGGCCCAGTCTGCATGAATTGCCCACACGAAGCCGATGTGGCGGGCAAACCTCCAGCGAGGCTGTTTTTTGCCCAAGTTTCGCAAAGAAACAAACGGGAAACTCCCCAGGCCCAGCAAGGCCTTGCAAGGCATTCGCCGCTCTCGACACGCCACAGTGACAGGCTGCCATCGTCGGAGCCAACCAAGGCCCGGCTGTCTGCTTCCCGCCAATGCCTCGGCGTCAGTGCTCCTTGCCCGTCCTCCTTCCTTTCTGCCTACCGAGGCTCGCTCGCCACAAGGCTCCTCAGCGCACTGTAGTGGGCCAAGAAGACCTGCAAAGACTAGAAAAATCTCTGACACGGCTTCGGTGGTGATGTCCTCGCCCTCTGTTCTGGCCTTCGCACTCCTCGGATGAAATTCTGAGTGTCACATTTGGAAAACATTGCAAACGCCCGGGGCTGCGGCTTCTTGCGAGGATCTCCTGCCTCGGCACTGCTTCGCTTGGCATGTTCGGAAACTTCTCGGGTCGATTTGTGCCTGTGGAAGCGTGTCCGAGACCGTGCCAACTGCGCCTGCCACAGCCACAACGGCCACAATGAGACGGTGATTTGCCTGATACAGGCCTCTCCCATCGAAGTGCCAATATGCCAGGTGTCCATCCTTGCTCTACCCGCAGATCAGCAGAGTCGGAGCCTAGAATCACCCTGTATTTATAATTCATCGTCACAAGCTGGGCACGGGGCTTCGAAGCCGCTCAGAGCCCGCCGGCCACGGCAGTCGACGACAGTGCCGCTCACGGCCGTGCCGGACTCCTCAGTCGTGTCATCGGCGAGAGAAGTGGTGCTCTCTCACCTTTTCGCCCCGTGACCTTCGCTGTCTCGGCACCTTCCGTGAAGTCCCCAAGCACCTTACACGACCAAGGAGCGAGCAAGGTGCGAGCTCGCTTGTTTCAGAGCGCCTGCGCTGCGTCCAAGTCCCAGAGGCGCACGGCCCCGTTCCGCAAGCCCGCACAAGCCCTAGTCGAGGCAGGAGGCTTTTTGCCTGTTGATTGTCAGATCGCCGTGAATGGCTCTCCTGCCTTCTCCCGGGCCAGTCAACTGACAAGGAATCGACCTTACTCGAACCCGAGCTGCTTTAGCATACAGGACACTCTAGGGTCCTAAGCGCCGGAGCTGCAGTCTCGGATGCCAGGATGTTCAAACACCGGAAAGTCTGACGGCAGGACTTCGACATTTACTGACGCAACTGCCGCTGTTGTTCCAGCCTTGAGACACCAGAGCTTTGCAGGGCCGACGAGGCAGCCCGTCAATGCCTGCTGATGATCGAAAAATGGTCTTGTGTAACCGCAGCCATTGACTTGAAGAGCAGAGACTGACAAAGACAGAGACGCGCAGATCTCTGCTCTTTCAGTAGTCTACCTCGCGTGATTTCCGAAGCTGCATTGGATGCATCACATGCATCCCAAATTCGGCCACTGCGAGACAACAGCTCTGTTGAGGGTATTGTTTCGGGATGGCACTTATCGCCGTATCGCAGGTACACAGAGTGACGTCCCAATCCCAATCTGTTTCACGGAGTATCCGCGGCTTTCTCCTTCATAGCCAATTTTCATTCGGATTCTGGAAAAAACCAAAACGCATCATATACAAATGAGAAGCGCGTAGGGATCGCACGATTCGCATTCGCTTCGGCGCATCGACCAGGAACGACAGAAGGCTCAAGAACAATTGCACACGATAGCCCATGCCGACTGCGCGTAGTATCCCCCCTTGTGTGGCAACTCGCAGGAGCTCAAAAGGTTTCTGTTGTCAGGCTCATCCATCCCTCTCGAGCAGCCACAACAAGCCGAAGGGCGGTGGTCCTCTGCTAGACACGGTAGTGGATCTGTTCTGAAACCTCGGCCTGCTGGATTGCAAGACCTCTGGGGAAGGAGTGTATTTTCCCAAGCCTACCGAACCGTCCGAACCGGCTCGGCAGTCCTGACTGTTTTGGGATCTCCGCTGGCATTAGGGATTGTCGGCCGGAGATTGGCCAAAATTAGCAACCAATCGGCCGAATCAGGCAAACACTCGGAAGTGAAATGAGCCGAATCGTCCGAAAACGCTTTCTTGCTCTTTCTTGGACATTGCTTTAGCGGCTAATTAAATTGGCCACAAGAAGTGGCAAAAAAGACCCAGCAAACAAATCCAACAAGCCGCAAAACAAAAATGCTGATTTGGACGACCACGGTGCGCCAACCCGGCCATAGAGCAGTCTTAACAACTCTTGCTGCCAAAGGTGTGCTTCTTTGCCAAAGCATGATTGCTGTGCAAACTCGGTCGAATAATCAGTGCTTTGTTTTGTTGGCCGAGTTGACATAGTAATCAGCCAGCGACAAAAAAAGCCAATTCGGCCGAATGATCTGCAACAGAATTGTTGGGTCAGTTGTATTCCTTGCATCAGTTCAACCTGCAGCTTTGAATTTTGGATTCCTGGTTCCTCATTCCTTTGATACAGTTTCCTTACCCTTCCAATTGCCTGGAGTGCGCAACAAGAACAGACAGAATCGCCGTGACACTTTCCGTACCCTTCCGATTGCTTGGAGTGTGCAACAAGAACAGACAGAATTCGCCGTGACAGTTTCCTTACCCTTCCGATTGCTTGGAGTGTGCAACAAGAACAGACAGAATTCGCCGTGACAGTTTCCTTACCCTTC